CTTATTGCTGCCTTCTATTTTGTGGATAGCCTCGAGGGACTACAGATTTACTAGTCTTTACAAAAAAGTAGACAATTTTTGGCTAAAAAAATAAATTCAAAATTTAATTGCTTCAAGCCTGGCTCTTCAGTGATTCCTTTCAAGGTCAGAGCGATCTTGTGGGTGGATTTTTAAAAGGAAAATGCAAAGAGCGTAAAATTCTCAGCTAGAGCTAAACTTGCGCTAATCATTGCACATCAGCGACTCCACGACTAAAAGTTCTGCATTTAAAAAAAAAAAACATCAAATTCATCATTGCACTCTCATAAGAGCTTGATGGGGAAGAATTGTGACTGGGCTCTGATAAAAGTGCAAAATCACAAAGGTCTATCGCAAAATGAGACAAATGAATGCCTTTTTATCCGACGCTTATAAGTCGGACCAAACCCAATGATTCAGAGAAAAAAAAAACATGGTCCTCTCTCTCATCCAAAGTTGGGTGAAACAAAAAAGGATCAAAAGGCATATATAAGAGGACCCACTAAGTGAGTCGAATCTTGGGCGCCCAGATGAAAGTCGTGCCGGGGGTCTCTCAACACTGGACATTTGTAGGTAATCGACTTCTTTTTGGGATGTCATGTGACACCTTGAAGAATGCGAAGACCCCGTACTGCCGCTGTTGGCAAAATTGCATTGAAGGTTAATGGAGCGACTGTAAGTCAATGGAGGGATCTCCTGTCGTTTACACTGCCATCGTCGCCTCGGGCCCCAATAACAGCATACAAGTATGAATATGAGGAACATGCCGGAGCAACAGCCGTACACAATAAACAATCGAGGAGCTAAAGGCAAATGGGGTAGTGCAAATGCGGAATTTGTCGAATAATAATCCAACACTCGGCTACGTCATCTAGTTACACAGACAATTAGCTGAGGCTTGTTACGTCATTAAGGCATTTCAGACCATGTAAGTTACTCCACCACCTCGTGCTCCAGGCGCATGTAACACTAAATCATCGAATTACTAGGGCCTAGCTCTACAGCAAAGCATCAAGTTGCCACCTGCCATATTCAAATGCAGGAAGATGGACATCGCGAAAGACGTAAGGTACCACTCCAACGTTTCTTCGACCAGACTTAGAGGTCATGTAGAAAACACAAATGGGATACATATCGACCCATTCGTCCTTAACTTTGATGAATGGCGGTATAATGCAGACAACAAGTGCACTCTAAGTCCATTCAAATTTAAGCGAATGAGCACAAAAGTACACTAAAGATAGGTGCAGGGAGCAACCCTCCCCAACCTATCCACTCACCAAGACCACTACTGCGGGTAGACGCTGGGAGGGGATGGTAACTGTATTTCTCAAGGTATCGGCACACAACGAATTGGCCTTTTTCACCTATTTGCTCGA